GAGGGGGGAGGGTCAGAGGGAGAAGCAGGCTCTCCACTGAGCAAGGAGCCTGACTCAGGGCTCGATCCCAGGACTCTGGGATCATGACTGAGCCGAAGGCAGAGGCTTAACGACTGAGCCACCCAAGTGTCCCCAAATTCTTTTTTTGTTTTTTAAAGATTTATTTATTTGAGAGAGAGAGAGCACGAGTGGGAGGGACAGAAGGAGAGGGAGAGAGAATCTCAAGCAGACTCCCACTCTGAGTGAGGAGCCCTACTCAGGGCTTGATCCCACGACCCTAAGATCATGACCTGAGCTAAAACCAGGAGTCTGTTGCTTAACCCACTGCACCACCCAGGGCCCCCTATCCAAATTCTCAATTGTATTAGGAAAGAAGGAAAATTTTTCTTAGAGACAAGTGGTAAGATTATTAACCTTCTTTTTTTAAGTTCTTAAATTCCAGTTAACATACAGTGCAATACTAATTTCAGGTGTACAATTTATTGATTCAACACATTCTTTTTCTTTGTAGCAGTACAGTTGCTTTAGATTCCAGGGCAGAAGTTGACTCCTTTGTCAGATATTTCCCTTTTTTCTGTGTCTGCCAAGATGCTCACAGTGAAATTTAATCTTCCCTAAGTTTAATTTTAAATTGAATCCTCATTCACCATCATTATATTAGTCTGGGTAATTCCAGGGAAGTTTCCTTTCAAGGTTGCTGGTCTTACTGTGTATATCTCGGTTCTTCCCTCAAAGTATATACTAAAAATTAGTAGTCCTATTTAGAACAGGATGGCTTAAGAATTGTTTCTTTATGGCCTTGCAGCCAAATATATTTTCTGGGTTCCCTTCAATCTGGGAAGGAAAGAAACAGGTCCCTTTGTGACCACCCTTGGTGCTATGATCATATATGTTAACTAGATGTTTTATTCTTGGGCCAGAGATGCCACTGGGAAAGAAGTGTACCGTCTTGCTCTTCAAACCAGGGAACAGCACATCCGGAGAGACAAGGCTACTAGCAACATCTGTACAGCTCAGGTAGGTCACATGCCTGCTCTGCCCACTAAACCCTTTATAATCTACAGAAATGAGCTGCTCATGCATTCACTCGATTGTTAATTCATTCGTTCACCACCTACTGACCAGTGTGTACATCAGAAGTGGTGTGATCTTATTGATAGAGAAGCCCTGTGGTCTTGTCAGAACCAAAATACGATGCATTTTCCTGGAGCTCTGTGTATGGATATACTGCATACATCAGTGTTTCTAGCATTTTTGGCCATCGGGCCAGGTCCATTATGGGTGGTGGGTGATTGGGTACCTTCTCTTAAGGTTGAAATGGAAGCCCTCTAGGAATGTGGTGAGGGAGGCAATGTGACTGTGCTTGAGGGGGTGACCAAGATTGACCCGTTGGTGGTGGTTGTGGGGTACTCTTACTGGGGACTCAGGACAGGCATTCGTGAAAGGATGGACTAAAAGAGGAGGAGCTTCCTAAGTTCCTGACGATTCTGGAAGTTGCCCAGGGCTCAGGTCAGAGGAAGGAGTGTTTGAGACCAAGTTTCTAGGCTTAGGTGGAGGACTCTTCCTGAGCATCCAATCCATTCTAGGTCCATCTTCTCCATTCAGGGTAAGAGAAAGAGATCTTACCAACACCTCAGTGGGCAATACGGTGCTTTTTTTCTCTCAGGGCACTGGTTCAAAGCACCACCACCAGGTTTTAGACTCTCCAGGGGCAGTAGATGATAAGGTCTTCTTATATTTGGTTCTCTAGCCGGTGGTCTTTGGACTAGTTTCCTCAGTAGGTTTTCTTGTCTTATTTGTTGCCTCAAAAAGGTGGCTGCTTCTTTTTAGCCAAGAGCTCTTCTTTCATCACAGGAAGGAGCCAGCTGTCAAGAGCTTTTCCTCTGTTGACAGCAAATTGAACTTTACATGATGCTATTACTTTCCATAGTTTACCCTTCATTTGTTGAATTCCCTGCTTATATATTTCTCCTTCCTGTGCAGCTGATTGCTCCTGTCTTGCTCTTTCTGCTCATGTTCTTCCAAAAGGTGCCTGTCTGGTTATAAATGCATTAAGGGGTTTTCTGCTTCAATGTTTGAAATTAATTTTACAGGTGAATTTGGGCTGAACAAAGGCCTCTTTTTCAGCAATAATTAAAGTGATGTTTGCCTTGGAAATAGCGCAACTCTGTCTTTTGATTTTTTTTTTTAAAGATTTATTTATTTATCTTAGAGAAAGAGTGAGGGAGGCGAAGGGGCAGAGGGAGACAAGAGAGAGAATCCCAAGCAGATTCCACGCTGGGTGTGGAACCCGATGTGGTGCTCAATCCCAGGACCCTGAGATCATGATCTGAGCTGAAAGAAGAGTCAGACGCTTAACTGACTGCGCCACCCAGGTGCCCCTGTCTTCTCTGATTTTTATCTTCTTATTCTGGAGAACTTCCAGCTATCCATTGTCTATTTCATTTCATGAGTTTCTTTTCATAATTGGTTGCATAAAGCAGTTGCTCATAACTCCAGGGTCATTGTCTATAAGCATACAATTAATCTTTTTTTTTTTTGCAATTAATCTTTTTTGTTAGGAGATGACTGATATCTTTTGAGATGCTCCTTGAGCACTATATGCCTTTAACTCCAGCCTCCTGCTTCTTTAGCCACTGCTCTGTGTTCTCATGGCTGCCCCTTTTCTCTTGAGCATAATAGGCTCCACAATCGAGTTTTAGTTTTGCATTGTTGGTGGTACAAAGCTCTCTGAAAGTGTGTTATTGAATTCTTTTTTAAAATTCTTTCTATAAACTTGTGATATTTCACAGATATCTGAACTTGCATCACGTCCTGTTCTTTATGTTTTCTTATTTCTTGGGTTCTACCACCACAAGCAATTTTTTCATTAGCTTTCTCTGAAGTCAGTTGTGTTGAGGTGTAATCTGCATTTCATTTACTCTTCAGTGAGCTATAACTCCCCATAAAATTTGCTCATTTAAAGTATACAGTTCAGTGGTTTTTAGTATTTTTGTGAAGTTGTGCAACCATCACTAGCATTTCATTTCTGAACATTCTCATCACCCCAAAAGGAAACCTGTTCCCATGAAGCAATCACTCCCCATCCTTCTGCCCTCCCTGCAGCCCCTGGGAGCCACTAATCTACTTTCTTCCTATATGTATTTGCTATTCTGGACATTCATACAAATGGGATTTTACAATATATGGCCTTTTGTGCCTGGCTTCTTTCACTTAGCATACTGATTTCAAGGTTTATCCATATTGTGGTATGAATCAGTACTTCCTTTTTTTTATGGCTGTGTATTATCCCATTGTATGGACATACCACATTTTGTTTATCCATTCATCAAGTGATGGATATTTGGGTTGTTTCCACTTTAAGTATTTTGAATAAAGCTGCTATGCACATTCATGTACAAGATTTTATGGGGTCATATGTTTTCAGTTCTCTTAGGTATATACCCAGAAGTAGAATTACTAGGCCATATTAGTAACCTAAATTGAACGTTCTGAAGAACTTCAGACTGTATTCCAAAGGGGCTTCATCATTTTGTATTCCCTCTACCAGTGTTTGAGGGTTGTAATTTCTCCACATTTTCACCGGTGCTTGTTATTGCCTGTCTTTTCAGTTATAGCCATCCTAGCGAGTGTGAACTGATATCTCATTGTGGTTTTAGTATGCATTTCCCTTATAACTAATGATTTCGAGCAACTTTTAATCATGAGCTTTTGATTACTCTTATTTTTTATTACTTTATTTGTATACTAATTATATTAAGTTTGTCCAAGTTATCCAGGAAATTTGAATTTTCTTGGTCTTCATTTCTCTGAACTTCCTTTGGAGTTCTAATTCCTTTCTGATATTTCTAAAAATGATTCTATACTTGTCATCAGTTTGTTGGCCAGTCACTTGATACAGTCTCCTCTTTGTGGAAAAGAATCATCTCTACATTAAAAAGGGATATGAACCAACTTATACAGGGTTGTTGTGATAAGAGGATTCCAGAGGATTCTGTGAATATCAGGCCTGAGTTTCTATTCCCCAGCAGTAGTCATAAGCATTTGGATACACAGTGTCATGTATTGTTTGACTTGCCCTCTCCATAGCTGGAATGTGTTGTAATGCTTCTGTATTTATTTCTAATTGTTATACAGAGTCCACAAAGCTTCTATACTCTCTTGGGGAATTTTGGTCCAAGAAAGTCTACTTCTGTGTTCTTAGATGTCTTCTTCTGCTTCTTCTTTTTTTAGAGAGGGAAAGAGAGGAGAGGGAGAAAAGGAATCTTAAGCAGGCTCTGTGCTCAGGGCGTAGCCCGACTCGGGGCTTGATCTCAAAATCCTGAGATCATGACCTGAGCCAAAATCAAGAGTCAGATGCTTAACTGACTGAGCCACCCAGGTGCCCCAGATTTCTTCCTTTCCTCTGCATTTTCTTTGACTGTTGGCTTCACTTTCTGGCATCTTTTTTTTTTTGTCAGAGAGAGAGTGAGAGAGAGAGAGCACAAATAGAGGGAGCAGCAAGACAGAGGGAGAAGCAGGCTCCCTGCTGAGCAAGGAGCCCAATGTGGGATTCATTCCCAGGACCCTGGGAACATGACCTGAGCCGAAGGCAGATGCTTAACTGACTGAGCCACCCAGGCATCCCTTTCTGGCATCTTTTGAGAACTGTTTCTTGTTTTGCAGTGGTCCCATGGCTGAGAAAATGTGTACTGAACAAAATAGATCCAATATTGAATATCAGCCAACTTAAAAGCATTGTGTTTCTCAGGTGCCTTTCCCACTCTGTGGTGATTGGCTGTGAAGATGACCACATTAGGAGAAAATTCACACTAGTGGGACTGAAAACTTCAGAGTTTATGGTGCTGGACCAGTAAAATGGGAGTGGCAGTGGGAGAACGGAATAGGCTGGGCAGGGTAGGAATCTGAGACCTGAGTTGGGACCAGTTTCCTGGGAGGTAGGGATGATACTGCATGGTTAGAAGATTGCTTATTGGCAGGATCTAGGGTGATAAAGCAAATGAGGGATGGGACCAAGAGGAAGAGAAGCATGAGGTGGGCCTCCATCATTTTTTGCCACGTTGTCACTCGTTTTAGTATCTTATCCTAGCTATCTTCTTTTATCTTCTTCCCTGACTCAACATGCCATCACAGTGGGTCCTTTTCTTGTTCCCCATGCAGGACTTCCTCACTGAAGCATTGCTGTCTGTGCCCCTTATCTCTGAGAGATTCCAGTGCCATTCCTTTCTATTTTCTGTCACACAAAAACACATGCTTCCCTGTAAATGTTCTTGTGAAACCTCAATCCCGAAACCTCAAGGGACATATCTTTACCTGAGAAAGTGACCTTGCTGTAAACAGGGAATAGCCAATAGGTGCTGATATTCTCTAATACATGTCCTGCCAATTCATTTTGGTTTTATTGCCCTGTGTCCTGCATTTTCATTTTTGGTAGTCCTTTCCCACACAATATTCATTCATCCATTGGTTGGCTGAAATTCAGCTTCTAGGGCTTTATTTAAGTTCTCAGTATAGTTGTGTTCCCTGAGTTCTTGTGTATTTGTAAATTGTTTGTTGCTTTTATCCTTGAATTGTTTGATTGATATAAAATTCTTGGATCTCACTTCTTTTCCCCTGACACCTTTATTACTCCGCTGTCTTCCTACATGAAATACTGCTCCTCGATGTTTAATGACAGCCCCATCTTCCCCCTTATGGGTGACATGATTATATTACATGAATGAAAGTCCTCCTTTATAGTGATCAAATCTGAAAGTTTAGTATCATGACTCCAGGGTGTCTTGGATACTGTGTTTGCCCCTGAGATAGGCAGGTTATAAATCATCCCCCACTATCATAGAGAAAGCAGGAAATCTGATCACTTTTTTTGTCCCTGTTTTCAGTTGTGGCATTTCAAGTCAAAATAATACTCCTTCCCACTAACTGTCTTCATCGCATTGTTGAACATGATTCCTTAAATGTTCTTTGTTGTTTTAGGCTCTCTTGGCAAACATGGCTGCCATGTTTGCAATCTACCATGGTTCCCATGGGCTGGAGCATATCGCTAGGAGGGTACATAATGCCACTTTGATTTTGTCTGAAGGTGAGTCACTTCATAACAAGATTGATAAACCTGAGTAAGTAAAATAGAAAACTCAGTGTATGTCCAATACTGTATACAAAATTGAAAGTCAAATAAGAAAATATTTCGCCATTTCTGATAGACTGAGTGTTAAAATTTTTAATATGGAGATCTCTTACTTGCTCCCCAGCTCCATAAACAAGAGGGATGATCACTCAGAGAAAAATGGGCAAAGGACATTAAGTGTAATTTTATTTTTTTATTTTTTTAAGATTTATTTATTTTATTTTAGAGAGAGAGAACCAGGGGGAGGGGCAGACAGAGAGGGAGAGAGAGTCTTAAAGCACAGAGCCTGACACAGAGCTCAATCTCACAACCCTGAGATCACAACCTGAGCTGAAACAGAGTCAGAAGCTTAACCGACTACGTCCCCCAGGTGCCTGAGTGTAATTTTAAAAGAAGTAAATATACAAATAAATGGCCAGTAAACATAAAATTTTAACCTTACTATTAAGGAAATGTAAATTGAAACAATAGTGTTTTTCCCATTACATTGGTAAAGATTAAAAAGAATGCTGATGTTGGTATAAATTTTTTTTAAAGATTTTTTTCTATTTATTAGAAAGAAAGAGGGAGAACTCAGACGGAGAGTAAGAGGGAGAAGCAGACTCCCTGCTGAGCAGATAGCCAGATGTGGGACTCGATCCCAGGACCCTAAGATCATGACCTGAGCTGAAGGTAGACACTCAACTGACCGAGCCACCCAGGCGCCCATGTTGGTATAACTTTCATGAGGGCATGTAAGCAGTACATATCAAAAGCTTTTAAAATGCGCCGACAGTTTGAATCAAAAATTCTACTTCTAGAAATGTATCTAAAGGAAATAATCACCTAAGGATGTAAAGGGTATCCATTGAAACATTGTTTATAATACCACAATCTTAGAAACAGCCTAAATGTTCAATAATAAGTGATTAAATTATTTTACATGCATATATTTGAATATTATACCACCATTAAAAATAATGACATGGATATCGATCTGTAGAAAAGCAAAATGTTCTTTATGTATTACAAATTTTTTAAAGTGTAAAGAAATATGTGATATCTCTCTCTTTCTCTCTCTCTCACACACACACACACACACACACCCCAATTCTAGAGTAATATACACTAAATTGTAACCAGTGATTATTTCTGTATGGTGATTATGGTGATTTTTCTTTTTTTATATGTATTTATTTCATAATATTCTATAGCATAGTGACAAACTTTTAATTTCTTTAAAAAAAAAAAAAAGCAGCTATCAAAACACTGGCTAAAATCAGGAACAGACTATAGTTAAAATTTACCTCTTGGGGCCCCTGGATGGCTCAATCAGTTAAGCATCCTACTCTTGATTTCAGCTCAGGTCATGATCTCAGGATCCTGCAATTGAGCCCTGCGTTGGGCTCTGCGCTCAGCGCAGTCTGCTGGTCCCTCCCTCTACCCGCTCTTGTGCTCTTCCTAAAATAAGTAAGTAAATAAATAAAATCTTAAAAAAAAAGAAAAAGAGTTTACCTCTTTACTTCTCTGTGAAAGGTCAGGGGCCGCAGGGCAGATTTCTGTGTTAGGGACTCGTGGCTTTCCTATCTTGTCTAGGTCTCAAGCGAGCAGGGCATCAACTCCAGCATGACTTGTTCTTTGACACTTTGAAGATTCAGTGTGGCTGCTCAGTGAAGGAGGTCTTGGACAGGGCCACTCAGCGGCAAATCAATTTTCGGCTCTTTGAGGATGGCACAGTAAGTAAAACTTTTCCACTTTTTAAACTACTTTAAAGTTTCCTGACTTTTCTTAGTAAAAATTTTCTTCTTAAAAAAATCAGTATTGGAATTTGGAATGTTTTTTAAACAATTTTCATTTCCCGCTTGGAACATTGTGACTTTCAAATAAAGGATAATTCATTCTTAGCTTTACTTAAGACTTTGTGTTTTCATGTATGGGACTCTTAGGCACATATTTTGCTCATAATACCCTTCACAATATGACTGTTGAAGGTAAAGACTATGATAAGTGATATAATAAATTAAGGTTAAGTATATCTGGTGACCTACCAGACCCACCAGACTGTTGGAGTCCAGAAGTGGCTCCTAAAACTCTAAACTTTGTAAAGTCTCAGACTCATCTAGTCCATGGGCCAACTTGGATACAAGGGCACCCAGATATTTTGGCATAACTGGGGGTCTTATCCAGCACCTTCCTCCCTTTGACTTCTCTTGGGGTTTCTTCACTGGTCTTGATGTTGGGCTGATGTTTTCCCTTTCATTTTCATTTCTGTAGCTTGGGATTTCTCTTGATGAAACAGTCAATGAAAAAGATCTGGATGACTTGTTGTGGATCTTTGGCTGTGAATCATCTGCAGTAAGTAAATTGAGAAGATGCATTTCTCATAATGACTGTTTGAGGTGTTGTCAAAGATGACTTTCCCTCTTGTGGCTCCAAGTGTGACACTGGGTGGCCTGCTGTTAAAATTATGCCACTGACCATCCCTGATAGCTGGTGGTCACTGCTGTGGGCCCTAGCTAGGACCTTACAGCCAGGCTATGTGGGAGGATTGTTAATGGTGTTTAATTAAAACTATCACTAACATGGAGAACCGTGACATTGGTGTCTTGGTTATGTCAGTTCTGGGAAAATACTTATTTATTGAACACCTAATATGTGGCAGGTACTATGTTAGGCCCTGAGGATGGTGGTGAATTAGACATGATTCCTGCCCCGACAGAGCTTATAGTCTAATGGGGACTCAGACATGCACAAGATTAAAATCCAGGTGATATCTTATGCTGGGTGTTGTCTGAAGATGCTCTGTGAGCACAGAGGAGGAGCTTCTCACCAAGACTTAGAGAAATTGTCCTAAGCTGAGTTCTGAATGATGAGTAGGAGTTATCCAATCTAAGATGGCACAATTGAAGAACTAGGAGAATGGGGCCAGAGGTGTTCCAGACACTGGGAAAAGCAACAATAAAGGCTTAGAGGAGAAAGATTACAATGTGAACTTGGGGCAGTTCAGTGTGACTGAGTTGGTTTCTAAAGCAACGAATTAGCAGGGCCATGTGAGAGGAAAGGTTATAGTTCTGTGGAATGAAGATGACAGAGAAGCAGTCAGTAGCTACCTAAACCTGTGGCAAGATGTTAATCACAACACTCTATGGGGCCTGGTGCACAGGAAGCACTCAGTAAATACTGTTGAATGAATCAATGGAAGGAAACGTTTCCCATACAGGTAGAAATAGGTTCCAGAGTGCTGACCGTGTGCTGAACGGTGCCATCCTGGTCGTCTATGTACTCTTTAAGAAGAGGACTTCAGTACCAGATAACAGTTGTAAATCATCAAAGAGATATCACACTGTTCTTTTTTAAGCCTTAATAAATAGGAGTGAATAAGCCATCTTCTCTCTAGAACTCTGCATTAAATTTAACCACAGGTTCCATGCATTTAAGGAATATTTATGGAGCACCCACTGAGGGCTCTAGATGGCTGTACTATCATGAGGAACAAGCCATGCATTTATATATTCTGGATATTAAACCCTTATCAGATATGATATGCAACATTTTTTCCCATTCTGTGGGTTGTCTCAGTGCTTGATAGTGTCCTTTGATATGCAAAAGTTTTTAAATTTTAATTGAAGTCCACTTTATTTACTTTTTCTTTTGTTACTCATGCTTTTGGTGTCATATTTGAGAAACAAAATCCAAATCCAAGATTGTGCAGATTTGTGTCTGTTTTCTTCTAAGAGTTTTATACTTTTGGCTTTTAAATTTAGGTCCTTAGTTCACTTTGAGTTAGTTTTTGTATATGGTATAAGGTAAGGGTTTGACTTCATTCTTTTACATCTGGATATCCACTTTTCTCAGCAATTGTTTGTTGAAGGGATTATCCTTTTGCCCACTGAATGGTCTTGGCACATGTATTTTATTAGAATTGTTCTCACAGATAAAAGCACTGTCAAGTAAGAATACTTACTTGAGTGTTGTCATCATAACTGGTTTTTTAAAATATTTATTTATTCAAGAGAGAGAGAGCAATCACATGCATGGAGTTGGGAGTCAGAGGAGAGGGAAAGAGAGAATCTCAAGCAGCCTCCCCGCTGAGTGTGGAGCCAGAAGCAGGGCTCAATCCCACGGCCCTGAGCCAAAATCAAGAGTTGGATGCTTAACTGACTGAGCCACCCAGGCGCCCCCATCATAACTTTTTTGATAGCCCTTTAAAATAACTTAATGTAGGGCGCCTGGGTGGCTCAGTTGGTTAAGCGACTGCCTTCGGCTCAGGTCATGATCCTGGAGTCCCGGGATCGAGTCCCGCATCGGGCTCCCTGCTCGGCAGGGAGCCTGCTTCTCCCTCTGACCCTCCCCCCTCTCATGTGCTCTCTGTCTCTCTCATTCTCTCTGTCTCAAATAAATAAATAAAATCTTTAAAAAAAATAAAATAAAATAACTTAATGTAACTTGCTTCATTACTCAAGGAACATGCAGGAGAAGTCTTGCCAGGGAGGGGGTGGCAATAAAAATTGTCATTTTTCCTCTTTTCCTCTGGCAAAGGTCAGTAGAACTTAGAAATGGTGCTCCGCCCAATTCATGACTCCTGATACCTGTTACCTCACCATGCCAGATGCCAGGGGGTTGGGCGGTGGTAGTAGATCTCTAGTGCTTTGTCGGGGTACATGCCAACCAGAAGCCTGGATCTCCACATGTAGTTCCAGGCATGCTTTCCACTGTTTAGTCTGTGGTCTCTCCACACAGGAGCTGGTTGCTGAAAGCATGGGCGAGGAGCAGAGAGGTATTCCAGGGACTGCTTTCAAGAGAACTAGCTCTTTCCTCACACATCAAGTGTTCAACAGGTTTGTGTGGTTGTGTGCATTATGTGCTGTGGCTTGGGAGTACAATAGAGAGTGGCTGCTTTTTAAAAAATTTTGTTTTAAAGATTTATTTATTTGAGAGAGAGAGCAAGTGATAGTGTGCAAGTTGGGGGAGGGGCAGAGGGAGAGAATCTCAAGCAGACTTCCTACTAAGCATGGAGTCCAACATGGGGCTTAATCTCATGATGCATCATGAGATCATGACCTGAGCCAAAACCAAGAGTGGGAGGCTCAACCGACTTAGCCATCCAGGTGCCCATAGAGAGTGGCTTCTGGATCCAACTATGATATGGCTTGGGTTATTGTGGTTCAGCCATGGCTCACTAATAAACCAACGCCATAAGGATTCCATTCCTGATTGGCATACACGTTGGCAGTGTAACCCCTAAGCCCACTTGTCAGGAAGAGAGGTTTGGATGCATGGTTGCTAGGCTGAAGTTCATACCCAGGAACTCAACATAGTCCTCTTCCCAACCTTCCTCTCCTGCCCACAGAAGCTTCTTGTCCTACTGCATCCCCTGAGGTTCGTGGGGGTTCCATGCCCTTCCCTCTGATGCTTTGTTGGCATGTTGCCCATGGCTCAATTTGATCTGTATTTTGAAGGTAGATCTGTGTGTCTTATATTTCAGGAGGATGTATATGGACTCTTATCCCATTATAATGCCCCAAATCATGTGTTTTGTGTTCACAGCTATCACTCAGAAACAAATATTGTGCGATATATGAAGAAATTGGAAAACAAAGACATTTCCCTTGTTCACAGCATGATTCCACTGGTAATTGTTGTCTTTGTTCTTACCTCTAACCCCAACCCTGGTCTCACCTCTTTGGGTTGCAGCTACATGCTGCAAGAGGGATGGAGGGGTGGCCATGTGGGGAGATCAGAGGGTCAAGAGGAAATCACTAATGTGATACATTTTGGATATGCTTCTTAAAGGGGTCCTGTACCATGAAGCTCAACAGCTCATCTGAACTCGCAGTAAGTAGGACACTTCTCTTAAGAGGGAACTTAGTAGGAGCAGTGTTCTAGCTTGTACATAATTAGGTAACTAGAGAAAGCTACTGGGACTGATTTAATAACTACCTGAATAATTCTTTACCTTGCTATTCTTTTTTTTTTTTTTAAGATTTTATTTATTTATTTGAGTGAAATAGAGAGAGAGCTTGAGTGGGCAGGGAAGGGCAGAGGGAAAGGAAGATGCAGGCTCCCCACTGAGCAGGGAGCCTGATGCTGGGCTCAATCCCAGGACCCTGAGATCATGACCTGAACTGAAGGCAGATGCTTAACCAGCTGAGCTACCCAGGCACCCCCATCTTTATGTTGCTATTCAACAATCTTAGGAGAAACCCCAATTTTATCGCAACTTGATCATTTAAATTTGAGTAAAATTATCTGAAACTAATACTATATGTTAATTAATTGAATTTAAATTAAAATAATTAAATATATAATATTCATGCCTTCCTATCCCCTATTTATAGATTCATGCCTTCCTATCCCCTATTTATTTGTTTTAGTATAGATTTTATTTTTAAGTAATCTTAAAAATCTTGAACTCACAATCCTGAGACCAAGAGTCACATGTCTACTGACTAAGCCAGCCACATGCCACTCCTATTCCCCCCTTTAAACCTGCAATGCTTTTATCAACTTGTAGTTGTTAAGCTCAGTAGAATTCAGAACCTTAAGCCTTCTTTCTAGAAATCCATTCACAGTGCGAGAAGGGTAGAGACTGGAGGTTTTCATTTATTTCTTGTGTCAACAGAAGATTTGTGTAACCTGCTCTTGTGGTTGGTAAGTATCTCTCCTAGGCTAGGATCCATTTTAGCAAAACTATCTTCTTCCTTTTTTTCCATAGGATTATTCTGATATGACAAATCACATCAGACAAAGGAAATCACTTTATATTGTGATTGGAAGCATTTTCCCCATTTGCTTTTGTTTTTGTCTTGTTCTGAGAATAAATACGTGTGCTGTATAAGAGTCCAAGTAAACCATACGTGAAACAACTCACTGGGTTTCATGGATATAAATCTATTTTGGGGACTTTTTGTTCCTGAAAAGATAGAAAAAGTTTATATTTTTGTGTAAATTCCCTTTCTAGGCCTTTCTGACCCACTTATAAAATGAAGGCAGTAATAGTACTTACCTGGTAAGATTGTGGTGAGATTTAATGAATTAATGTATTTAAAGTGCTTAAAACAGTGCCTGGCACATAGTAAATACTCTTTGTGCTAGCTAGTGCTATACTCATCATCATCATTATTAAAGTTTACTATTGTTATTACTATTACAATTGTACATATGCATGTGTTTTCTCCCCTGTTGCTCTTCAGCCTATCACATGGAAAGAATTTGCAAACATCCACCCATTTGTGCCTCTGGACCAAGCTCAAGGGTATCAGCAACTTTTCCAAGAGCTTGAGAAAGACTTATGTGAACTCACGGGCTATGACCGAATCTCCTTCCAGCCTAACAGGTAAGAGATTTCTTCTCCTGTCTTTTAGCTATCTCTTGTGGTATAATACCCACCCCCAAAATTTTGAGGCTTGAAATGACAATTTCGTATCATTCTGAGAGTTGAGTAGACAGTTCAACTCCGCTGGGGTGGATGGCTAGAATATCCAATAAGTAGCCACATTCACATAGATGGCAAGTTAATGATGGAGCCCAGTTGAGGATGTTGACCTGGGCCTTGGTTCTTATTCATGTAGCCCTCTCCATGTGGTTGCTTGAGCTTCATTCGTCCTGGAATGATGTCTAGGTTTAAAGTGGAGTGTTCCATGATGGAAGAATGTGGAAGCTACAAAACCCCTTAAGGCTCAGCCTCTGAAGTTTCACAGCATGACTTCCAGAGCATTCTATCTGTTAAAGCAAGTGACAGGGCCAGCCCAGTTTGAATGCAGGAGGGGACAATACATGGGTGTGAATGTCCAGAGTTGTGTTTCATTGTGGGCCATCTTTGGAAACTAGTTACTATATCCATCAATGACATAGCATTAGAATTAGAATCAAGTACACATGTTAACTCCTAACAAGCAGCAACATCTCAATCCAGTAGGGTCAGGAGAACCTAGATCCTGGTTTGTGCTGTCACTAACTTTGAAAGTTCCCTGCTCCTCTTCTGGCCTCTGTTTCTTTATCTGTAAAGTAAAAACTCTGAAGAACAGTTGACTTTAAAAAAAAATTTTTTTTTTTAATTTATTTTTTGACAGAGAGAGGGAACATAAGCAGGGGGAGTGGGAGAGGGAGATGCAGGCTTCCCTAAGAGCATGGAGCCCGATGTGGGGCTCGATCCCAGGACCCTGGGATCATGACCTGAGCTGAAGGCAGACGTGCAACCCACTGAGCCACCCAGGCGCCCCAAACAGTGACTTTTTTTTAAAAGCAGAGGGCTCTAGCAACATTTCTTGGGTGCTTGTTAAAAATACAAATGTCTGTGTCCCACTCTAGGCCTACTGATCATAATCTCCAGGGTTTAGGACTAAGAAATCATATTTTTAAGAAGCAAACAAATAAATGATTCTGATATACAGCCAATTTGGAATCCATTGGGTTTGTGATCTGTCTTCATGGGAATAGAGAGATAGGTGGATAGATAAACACTTTCATCAGCATGAATTCACATTTAACTATCTTCAGAAGAGTTGCGTTTCTGCCGAGGGATTCTCCACAAGAAGTGTAATTCTCCACCAGCAGCCTCAGCATTGACATCACCCAGGAGCTTGTTAGAAATGTAGACTTCAAGATACAAAAATCAAATGATTTTTTTTAAAGATTTATTTATTTGAGGGTGGGGAGTGGCAGAGGGAGAATCTTCAAGCAGACTCCCCGCCAAGCGAGAAGCCCGACTGGGGGCTCGATCTCACAACCTTGAGATCATGACCTGAGCCAAAATCAAGAGTTGGAAGCTTAACCAACTGTACCACCGAGGAGCCCCAAAAATCAAATGATTTTAAAACTGGGACATTTATCATCTCACTCTCTGAAACAGAAAGTAATCAGATCTTAGCTACAATCAAGCCCTACCTCCTGTTTGGTAACATAAGCTATACAGCAAAGTCATGCACTTTGTGAAAACAGTATATCCTATAAAATACAAACCCTTTAAGATGGGGGCATATGGCAAATGAAAGGACACAGAGCTCTTTTAATAGTAGCCTCTCAAATGCTGATTTTATAAATAGGAAGGAATGACATTCATGAAAGTCTGGCTTCATACCTTCATTAAAACAACATCATCAATGGGGCGCCTGGGTGGCTCAGTTGGTTAAGCGACTGCCTTCGGCTCAGGTCATGATCCTGGAGTCCCTGGATCGAGTCCCGCATCGGGCTCCCTGCTCGGCAGGGAGCCTGCTTCTGCCTCTGACCCTCCCCCCTCTCATGTGCTCTCTCTGTCTCAAATAAATAAATTAAAAAAAATCTTTAAAAAAAAATCACCAAGCCCCTCCCCCTTTTTAAAGGAAGAGAGGAACCTGAGTGAATTATTAATCTGAGGCAATAAACCTTAATTAAATGTTGAAAATGAAGAAACTTCGCCCTCTAGTGATGGAATATGATTACATCGTCTGTGTCATATAGGAGAGTAATTGTTAAGGACTATTTTAACTCTTAAGTCATTAGCTTTTGCAGCTCATTGAGGGCCCAGCTAGGGTCCTGAAAGACTGACCTAAGGATGAGGAAGCTTGCCTTCCCTTAAAGCAAGGTTCCCAACCCTGGCTGGAAATTGGAGTCATGCGGTGAGTTTATAAAAAGGTTCTGGTGTCCATATCACAATCCCAGATTGAATTATAATCTTGATAGGGAAAGACTGGGGTGAGGGAAGGGACACAGGCTTGAGTATGTCTTTAAAGCTTCTCAGGTGATTCCAATTTGAAGGCGAGGGTAAGAACCACTGTCATAGAAGTTTCTCTGTTGTTTTTCTTACTATACATAATGCTCTTTCTCTGTCCTGCTCTCCTCACTCATGTGATTGGCAGTGAGATTCAGTACTCCATCTCAGTTTTGTAGGAGGGAAGGAGATGGTTATTAGGATGTCGTTTCTGTCAGTGATGCCTTTTCCACCTTCACAGATTCCCAGATATAACACTCATTGTCAAGAACCGATTTGAAAGTGACAGGAGCTGCGCCCAAAGTTGAGGCTTATTGAGGGATATTTCTGGTTCTTAGCAGAGGCTGCTGTGACAGATGAGGAAATGCCCTACTCTTTTGTTGGGAAGATAGACGATGCTTCCAGAGATTATTAAAGTTTGGGGAAAAGAGGAAGGGATGCACCATATATTCTCTGTGTAAGGATTTTGTTTTTATCTTGTTAAAACCCTCTTGGTTTATTTGTGCTAATCTCTCCACACGTGAATTATATATCCAGGTCTCATAATCTGTATTTTAAGTATTATAATTAGTTACCACAGGACTGTTTAGTGGTTAGTTCATCATGATTTACTGCTGGCTAGTGACCACTCCAATCCAAGGTATTGTTGTAGGCTTCATATTTATTGTAAGAAGAAATACAAGTTTTCTTGAATATTCTGTACAGAGGGAGAATTTACTGTATCATCTCAGCCACTGAAATTTAGAATTACTTCTAAAATATGGGGTGCAGTCGCAATTATTATCAAGGTACTATTTCCTGGTGTTTTCATTTATACCTAATTGGAGTTGGTCAGTATGTCTATAGAGTTCTAGAGGCTAGTCACCAAAAAGTTTTGTATCTAAAATTTCTTTTCCTTTTTTGTTATATGATATTTAAAAGATAAATATGGCAAAATTTTTAGGAAGTAGCATTAGTAATATTTTGCAACTCTAAAATTTTTTACTGTGGTAAAATACACATAACATGAAAATTTACCATTTTAACCATTTTTAAGAGTATAGTTCAATAGCATGAATTCACATTGTTTTGTAAGCTTCAGCACCATCCATCTCCAGAACTTTTTTATCTTCCCAGATCAAAGCTCTGTATCAGTTAAACAACAACTCCTCATTTCTCTCTTACCCCAGTCTCTGGCAACCGTGATTTTATTTTCTGCTGCTACTAAATCAACTACTAGTTATGTCATGTAGGTGGAACTATATAATATTTGTCTTTTTGTATCTGGTGTATTTCACTTAGCATAATGTCTTTTTTTTTTTTTAAGATTTTATTTATTTATTTGAGACAGAGAGAATGAGAGAGAGAGAGCACATGAGAGGGGGGAGGGTCAGAGGGAGAAGCAGACCCCCTGCCAAGCAGGGAGCCCGATGCGGGACTTGATCCAGGGACTCCAGGATCATGACCTGAGCTGAAGGCAGTCGCTTAACCAACTGAGCCACCCAGGCGCCCTAGCATAATGTCTTTATCCATGTTGTAGCATGCATCAACATTTCCTTTTTAAGGCTGAATAATGTTCCCTTGTATGTGTGGACCACATTTTGCTTATCTCTGCCCATTGATGGACACTTGGGTTGTTTCCACCTTTTAGCTGTTGTGAATAATATTGCTGTGAACATTGGTATACAAATACCTGAGTCCCTGGTTTTAATTCTTTTGGGTATATACTCAGATGTGACATTGCTGGATGTATGGTAACTGTTTAATTTTTTGAGGAATGGCCATACTGATTTATGTATCAATGCAGAGACATAGGTGGGAAAAGGTATCTGAAAAGAAGGACAGTTATCTCAAGGTGGTAGAACTTCAATACTTTTTGTCTTTAGGCCTTTTTAATTTTTTAATTTTAATTTTTCCCCTTCCCTGTCCTTACGCTTTTTTAGATTACTAAAAACTTTAACCATGATACATGTTAGTATGTAATATAAAAATAAGTTAATTTTATTGTGGGGAACATGCATATTATGAAACAATAACACAATGTAAGGATGCTTGCAGATTCATCTCTACGGTGGGTCTCCTGATCTCAGAGGATTTCTGCATCCCCTAATGGCATGATGAAGCTAGCTTCGACACTTGCCTGGGTTTGGAGGCAAACCATGTACTACCTCAGTCTTAGCAGTGACACAGTACTCAAACATAAAGTGAGAACATCTTGTACCGTGGGCAAAGGAACCAAGCTCTGCAGAATAGAATGATATTTAACACCGAGTGCACTCATAACACAACTCTCTGGTTCTAAGATGCCTGTGTAGGAGAACAGTTTTCAGGCATGAACCTGAGTGTTCTGCATGTGGCCCTGACGGCTCCACCTCATCTTTGCTGCTGGGCCCTTCCATACTATCTTCCGGTCCAGCGGAGATCTACATGATGCTCACAGAAGGCTATTGGTCTTTCTCTAATAGTTCCTACCTAGATATACACTGCCACAGGACCTTTCTCTTCAGTGGATTCTTTTTCTGAAAGGGAAGTCAGCAGCTCAAAGGAAAGGTTAGCATCCAGAATATGTGAGACCTCCAAACGGCTTCTTAGTCATGATGTAGGTTTCTCTCTCACACAGCAAGAAAGCAAATGCTGTTACTGATCTGATTGAGGTTTAATTGAGGAAT